CCGGGCCCGGGCCTCAAACTGTGGTCACCCACGTGGGAGTCCAGCAACATAGCCACTACGCCAACTGCTGGTCCCAAGTTCACAATCTTTTCCATTTTTTTTGGAGAGGTTTTTGCTATAGGGCACGTGCACTCGCCAGAAAGACAGAGAGTGACAGACGAAAAGTGAGAAATCACCACCCAGGGGGGATGACCACGCTGCAATCCCTTCTCCTTCATTCTCCTCCTGGGATCTTGGGCATGCACGCGCATGCACCCAGCGTGAGTTTAAGACACGGGGTCCAGGACTCAAACCACAGTTTACTACAAGGGAATCCAGCAACATAGCCATTACACCAACTGCTGGTCCCACAATCCTTTCAATTATTGACATTTCTTTCTTTTTTTTTGAGAGGCAGAGATTTTTGCTGTAAGGCATGTGCACTCACTGGACAGACAGGCAGAGACAGAGAGACAGAAAATAAGAAATTATCCCTCAGGGAGATGGTCATGCTGCAATTGCGTCTCCTCCATTCTCCTCTCAGGATTTTAAGCATGCATGCACACATGCCCAGAATGAGTTTTAAGCCACTAGCTCCGGGACTCGAACCATAGTCAACTACATGGGAGTCCAACGACGTAACCATTATGCAATCTGCTGGTCCCTTGACATTTATTTCTATCTAGCCCTTCTCTGTTCTCCCACCCAACCAAACTTACCTTAATCCAGGCATGGTTCCTTTTCTGTCTTTCCTCTCTGACCGGTTTTCCACCCAGTTTCTGATTTTCTGAAGTCTTTTCACCCTCTCACCTGGAAGACCTCAGGCTGACCAGGTTGCTGTGCTGATGGCTGTTGAACATGTTGCTCACTAGAACTTGAGCGATGATGAGGCTGCTGGCCCTGCCACTGTGGCCAGACACCTACACCCTCTGCTGTCCGTGTCTGGAATTGTCCTGTAGTCTGTCCTGCCTCTAGCAAGGAAGAATAAACAGCTTCAGTCTACTAAATAATTCCACTGGAGAGAGAAATTGGAATATAACTACATGCAAGCCATTAATTTTACCTAGGATATCTTCTGTCTTTCTTTCTTTCTGCCAATTAATGCCTGTTTTACTTCAAAATCCAACCCCAGATTTATTTTTCTTCTCTAGGTAACTTCTCTAGAGTCCTTTGCTCATTTAGATTAAATATTCAAGTTTATTAAAATGTATATATTAATGCCTGTTTTACTTCAAAATCCAACCCCAGATTTATTTTTCTTCTCTAGGTAACTTCTCTAGAGTCCTTTGCTCATTTAGATTAAATATGCAAGTTTATTAAAATGTATATACTTTTTGTTTGCTTGCTTTGCTATAGGACACATATGCTCACCAGAGGGACAGAGAGAGAAAAAGAGAGAGGGAAAGTGAGAAATCATCCCCGAGGAGGGATGGCCACACCACAATCCTTTCTCCTCCAGTCTTCTCTGGGGACTTTGGGCAGGCATGCATACACACACAACTGGTGTGAGTCCAGGACTCAAATTGCATAGTTGGCCACATGGGATCCAGCTCCTTAACCTCCATGGCACATGCTGACCCTCATTTGAGTAGGTTTTCAATCCAAAATAGACTCTTACTTTTCATTTCTCTACAATTAGGTCAGTGTACTCAGAACACAGGAAACTATTTTAACTCTCAAATTCTTTCTTTTTAGTGGTGCTATGTTCCTGTTACCCTCTTTCTGGTCTGAACTCACCAAAGTTGGATCCACGATTGGTGAGACTAGGGTAGGCAGCAGCACCAGGTGATGTAGTGGGAGCACCAGGGAGGGACATGGGGCTGAAGGAAGACGGAGTTTGAAAGTTGCTCACACCAAATTGGGAAGACCGAGTCTTGGCTGTAGCCTGGGATGCCGCCTGCTAGAGAAGGAGACAGAAAATGACATATAGATCACAACTACATTTACCATCCCTATGATAGTCAACATGCCATCAATCGCTGCTTTCTTTTAAACTGAGTTCATCATTTATTTCCTTATATTTCTTCTGACTAACTCACAATCATCCAACACTATTTCTTAGGCAGCTAGGATAAAAGTGCATAAAAATAAAGAACTAATAGGATGCATAAAAGCTGTGAGAATTGGGAACCAGCAGTTAGCGTAATGTCACTGGACTCCCACGTAGTCAACCGTGGTTCGTGTCCCAGACCCAGTGGCTTAAAACTCACGCCAGGCGCATGTGCGTGTGTGCCCAAGATTCCAAGAGGAGAACGGAGGAGAAGGGATTGCGGCATGACCATCCTCTCTGGGGGTGATTTCTCGCTTTCTGTCTCTATGTCTCTCTCTGCCTGTCTGGTGAGCGCACATACCCTATAGCGAAAACCTCTCAAAAAAAAAAAAAAGTTGTGAGAATTAAGTGAAAGTATTTATGAACTGCAAAGTTAAACAAAACTAAAGGTATTAATGATAGCAATAGTATCACAGGTAGAGAAAAAACATTTTGCATAATTTAATTATCCAGTCTGTTCTGTATCCATGTGCTCCTAATGATGTATTTTCAAAAAAAACAAAACAGCAAAATATTTAGAAAAATAAAAATGTGTGTGTGTGTGTGTGTGTGTGTGTGTGTGTGTGTGTGTGTATGACTGGACTAGGACATACAGCAGCATCAGGTGATATGGTGGGAGGGACATGGGGCTGAAGGAGCATGAACAACATAAATATACAGTAATGTATATTAAAGAAAGTTTGCTTAGGCATAGCATATTATGCCAACTGCTGGTCCCTCTTTTTTTTTTTTAGAGAGGTTTTTGCTATAGTGCACGTGTACTTGCCAGAAAGAGAGACAGAGACTGAGAAATCACCCCCCAGTGGGGGGATGGCCATGACGCAATCCCTTCGCTATTCTCCTCTCAGGATCTTGGGCACGCACGCACACGTGCCTGGCCTGAGTTTAAGCCCCTGGGTCTGGGACTCAAACAGCAGTCTACTACATGGGAGTCCAGTGACATAGCCATTACGCCAACTGCTTGTCCCATGTTTTTAAATTATCTACCTGCTATCAACAAAGATGAAAACTGGAAGATGGGGAATGGGGGTTCAGGAAAGGTAATTAAGATAGAAAATAATTTTGTATGTGGAAAAAAAGTTCCTCCGACCTAAACAAACAAAACACATACACACACACACACACAGGAGACAGATGAAAAGATTTACCTGGGCAGAGAAGCCTGGGCGGGTGCTGGGGGTCCAAGTGGGGGCTGTTCCCTGGGTGGGGTTCGAGTGGCGGGAAATCTGGGCCAACATTTGTCCTGCAGAAGCTGATGGCTGAACGATTGTTACAGGAGGGGCCAGACCACTATTCCTAGGTGAACAAATAGTGAGGTAAACAATTAAAAGGATGGTTTTATCAGAGAAGCTAGAAATCAAAGGAAATCTAGTGCTATCTCTAGATCCTCTTGACTTCCTTGGGATTAAGGAAAACTTGGTCAGAATCTAGAAAAGACAAAGAAGACTGACAGTCACACAATGATCAGGACACACAGAGATGGAACCTAGAAGATGGCAGTAGGACGGGTGCAAAGAAATAGGAGATATAAAAGCAGCTTTCTTGCCTCACCTTAGGCCCTACAAGCTCCACTGCTTCATCTGAAGTAACCAGAGAAAGCAAGGTAAGAATAAAACTTGGATTCAGCACTGAATCCCTGAGGGCTCTGTAAAGCAGCACACATATATGGGGCTCACCTGAAATTCTCTGCCGGCCGGGGGGTAGGAGGGAATGTGTTGCCCTGGGAGAATAGCTGTTGGGTGGCAGGGACAGTGCTGGAGGAGATGCCTTTACTCTGATCTGTGGACCAAAAGGAGTCGGGGAGGGCCAGTCAAGGGGCTGTAGTATATTATTCGGCAAGTTCCTATTTACTCATGGGGCACTATGATTAAGTGGAAATAATGTTGGAAGATTACTGATTAGGCAGCAACAGGCCCATCAGTAAGTGATCTGAATGAGAATTTTAAGAGGAATGAAGAAGAAATGTACCTGCACTGATGTTGGAATAGATTTCTGAAAATCGTGGGTCTCTATCCTGGGCAAATAAACCTTCTGACTTCTCAAGGGGTTTGCTATGTTCTGGCCCAGTGGTTGTCACAGGCTGAACAGAAACCTATCAAATACAATGATAAAAATACTCATTAAAAATTTAACATGCAATTCGATAACTAAAATTAATAAAAGATACACATATACACTAACAATGGGGAACTCACTGTTCTCTTCAAGGAAAAAAAATATATACTCACCTGGGAATGATTGTAGCTGGCCAGTCCATCTCTTCCTGGTACTATATCCAATTCTGTTTGCTGTTGCTGCTGCCTATATTTAAGGCCAATGAGGAGAGAAATATGAAATAATAAGATTAAAAAATAAATCCGAAGAAAGGACCTTAAGAAAATAAAATGGGGGCCAGGTGGTAGTGAAGTAATAAAGCAACTAAACCTTTATGGGAAAGGTCTTGAGTTTGCATTCTAACCTCCCTGAGCAAGCTTACTGGGCATGCACATGTGGCATGCACATGCACACCCTTGATAAAGACTGACTGAGACTGTGGGTGGACTGTGGTTTGGGGACTCTGTTGGAAGCACCTGTCTCTCTCTGGAATAAATAAACTAGAAAAAAAATTTTAAATAAGTAAATAAATAACCAACTAAACAAACAAAAAAAAAACCACGAGATTTTCCTGGGTTAAAGATTACTCAACAGATGATTTTTCCACCGTATCTTACCTTGGTGCCAGTTGCCCTGAGCCCATCTCCAGAGGTATATTAGCTGTGGGCCCTAACTGCGGCCTCTGGATTGTATTGGATAGTGTAGGCCTTGGTTCCTGGCTAGAGTTCCTGGGAAAATAGAGCAGATAGAACAGAGAAAGAAAAAGACCAGTTCTACATATAAATCTCTATAACTCATCTGTAAGTGAGGCAATCACTAATAAGCCCCTTTAAAGGCCAATCCTACAGGTAACATATGTCCTTTGTTTCTGCAAATAATTTACACTATGGACAACATGGTACAAATAGAAACTGTGTCCCATGGCACAAGGGTTCATCCTGTTAATGACTCTTAACAACTATTCAATACCTGGTAGTTGTGAATGTGTGCATATATCCATGTACTCTGTTTATAAAAAAACATAGGTGGGCTGGACACATAGCCTAGTGGGGTAAGGAAGCCAGGTCCACATGGCCAACCTGGCCCCATGTGTATGTGTTCCCAGAATCCCATCAAGATTGATTAATGGAGGGACCAGCAGTTAGCATAATGGCTATGTTGCCGCACTCCCATGTAGTCAACTGTGGTTTGAGTCCCAGACCCCGTGGCTTAAACTCACACTGGGCGTGTGTGCATGTGTGCCCAAGATCCCAAGAGGAGAATGGAGGAGAAGGGATGCAGTGTGGCCATCCCCCTTAGGGGTGATTTCTTGCTTTCTGTCTCTCTGTCTCTCTCTGTCTTTCTTGCAAGCGCACGCGCCCAACCTCTCAAAAATAAATAAATAAATAAATAAAAGATTGATTAATGGAACAAAAAGGATAGTGGTGTCAACATATCTCACTGGGGAGTGCTTTCTCTGTCTCCCTTTCTGGTGAGTGCTCTTTGGCAACTAAAAAAATAAAATAAAAAAAATAAAAGCATAGGTAAGAAACTGAAAATACATACACTGAAATGTTAACCAAGTCTATACAGAGTGTAAGAACTTTCTTCTGCTATACTTTTCAAATTTTCTGTATGAAATATTTTTTAAATAAATAAAAGATTCAGTCTATCAGGTGGGATGGAGGTTAAGGCATTGGATCTCACATTGTTGACTCTATGGTTCAAATCTGGGATCTGGTTTCTTTTTTTTTTTTTTGGAGAGATTTTCACTGTAGGGCGCATGTGCTCGCCAGACAGACAGAGAGAGACATAGAGACAGAAAGCGAGAAATCACCCCCAAGGGGGGATGGTCACGCCGCAATCCCTTCTCCTCCATTCTCCTCTAGGGATCTTGGGCATGCACGCACACGCGCCCGGCGTGAGTTTTTTTTTTAAGCCACTGGGTCCGGGACACGAACCGCGGTCAACTACGTGGGAGTCCAGCGGCATAGCCATTACGCTAACTGGAGAAGTGACTGCAGTATGGCCATACCACCTTAGGGGTGCTTTCTCATTTTCTCTATCTATCTCCAGCAAGCACACATGCCCTATAGCAAAAATTAAAGAAAAAGAAGTAATCTAACAATTGACACCCAGTAGGATGGCTATATCAAAAGACAGATAATAGCAAATGTAAACAAGGATATGGAAAGTAGGGCCAGGAAGTAGCATGGTGGTTAAAACGCTGGATTCCCAAATGGCCTGCTGTGGTTTTTAGTCCTGGATCTGGCAGCTTGCTTTTTCATCCCCCTAACTCATATCTCTCTCTTATGAGTGCAATGTGCCTGATAGCAAATTTAAAAATAATAATAAAAAACTAAAAATAAATAATTATTTAAAAAAAAAACACACACACACAAAACAAGGATATGGAGAGAAACTAGAATGAGGCAGCATAAAACGGCTTTGGGAATCAGTTTCACAGATCCTCAAAAGATTTAAACAGGGCCAGAAGATGGCATAGCAATTATGTCTCTGGACTCCCACGTGGCCACAGAGGTTTGAGTCTTGGACCTAGTGGTTTCAAAATCATGCCAGGCGCATATGTGTGTGTGCCCAAGATCCCAGGAGGAGAATGGAGAAGGGATTGCAGTGGTGATTTCTCACTTTCCCTCTACTGTCTCTGTTTCTCTTTCTCTCTCTGGCAAGCACACACACCCTAAAGCAAAAATCTCTTTTAAAAAAAAAGGTTAAAACAAATTTACCATGTGGGGCCAGCAGGTTAGCATGGTGGTTGAGTCACTGGACTCCCACATGGCCAACTGCAGTTTAAGTCCTGGACCTGGCGGCTTGCTTTTTCACTTTGCCCCTCTCATTCTTTCTGTCTCTCCCTGGCGAGCACATATGCTCTGTGGTGAACTGAGAAATAATGATGAGTAGAAATAAATAAATAAATATTTTTAAAAAATTACCATGTGACCCAGCAATTCCACTCCATGGTATATAATCAAGAAAATAAAACATGTTTCTACGTGAAAAGCAGTTCATGAACAGACAAAAAGTAAAAATCATCTGATGGCATATCCATACAATGGAATATTACTTGGCAATAAAAAGAAATGAAGTACTAATAGACACAAATTGGCTGACCCTTGAAAACATTATACTAAATAAATCAGTCACAGGGCCAGCAAGTGGCATGGTGGTTAAGGCAGCTGGATCTCACATAGCCAACTGCACAGTTCAAGTCCTGGAACCACAGGCATGTGTGCATGCACGCTCAAAATTATAAGAGGAAAATGGAGTTTGAGAAGGGACTGCAATGTGACCATTCCCTCCTGGGGAATACTTTCTTACATTTTGCTCCTCCTCTCTCCATTCCTGTCCTACAGAAAACTTAAAAAAAAAAAAAAAAAAAGAAAGAAAGAAAGAAAGAAAGAAAGAAAGAAACCAGTCATATATATATATACAAACTCACATACTCTGTGATTCCACTTACATGAAATGTCTATAATAGGCAAATTTATAGAGACAGTAGATTTGTGGTTAGATAGGGCATGGGAGGGAGAGAGTAAAAGAGGAAATGATTGTTAATGGATGTAGGATTTCTCTTAGGAGGGGTGAAAATGTCCTAAAATTAGATTGTGGTTAATAGTTGCATAACTGTATGATATACTTAAAAAGACTGTACACTTTAGGGGCTGGCAGGTGGCACCATGATTGAGGCACTGGACTCCCATATGGCTGACCACAGTTCAAATCCTGAATCTGGTGGCTTGCTTTCTTACTTTCTGTCTCTCTCTCTCTCTCTGATCAAATTAAAAAATAAATACATAAAAAATATTAAGCAAAAAAATAATTCTTACGGACAAACAGTTGGCATAATGGCTATGTCTGGGGCTCTCGACTGTGGTTTGAGTCCCAGACCCGGTGGCTTAGACTCATGCCAGGTGTGTGTGCATGCACGCCCAAGATCCCGAGACGAGAGTGGAGGAGAAGGGATTGCGGCGTGACCATCCCCCCTGGGGGGTGATTTCTTGCTTTCTGTCTTCTCTCTGTCTTTCGGGTGAGCATGCCCTATAGCAAAAACCTCTAAAAAAATTTTCTTAAAAAAAAAACTTTAAAAAGATTGTGTACTTTACATGGGTAAACTAAGTGGTATATAAAATTTATCTCAATGAAACTTAAAAAAAAAAAAAAAAAGAACTGTGAAAGAAAGCTCAAATGGAAAAGAACAAGAGAGGAGCAGAAAGTAATAAAATATTGGGATAAATCTATGCTCTAAACCAAACAATGGACCAAATATGGCCATTGTCTATTTTTGTAAATGAAGGTTTATTGGAAAACAGCCAGGTTCTTTAGTTTTATTTGTTAATGACTACTTTGGTGCTCTAACAGTAGAGTTGCAAAGTTGCCCACAAAGGCAAAAATATTTACTATACTGCTCTTTAAAGAACTCTTGCTGACCCCTGCTCTAGAAGAATATCCTCTCAGAGTACAGCAATAAACCAGTGTATAAGACCAAAATCCTTTCTAAAAAGGGCTCATACATCAAAATGAAATGTAAATACTTCTATCTCAGGACCTAGTCTCTGAACCATTGTTTGTTAAAATAATTTTCTGCCTGGATAAACTACGCTAAATCCTGTAAGAAGTTGGGAAATGAGGAACTTCAAATGAATGGTGTTTGATACTAGAAAGTGGAGGAGACAGTTTGACGAGGCTATGCCGACTGGGCCCATGGGAGATCCTAGCACTAGAAAAGGCCTGTATGTTACATACTTCACATTGGTGTTGGTACAGATGATGTATTCTATTTCATCTGAGTAAGGATTCTGGAAAGTAAAAGAGCTGGTTCTCATCCAGAGCCATTCTCGGTTCTTAGACCGGAACCGGAACATGACAGACAGCACCTGGCCTTTTAATTTCACCACCTGAAAAAAAAGTATTTATGCCATCAGTGAAATTCATTAAAAAATGTTCTTTAAAGAATTTAATGAAAATATTCCTTTACTATTGCCCTTAAGACTCATATGTCACTGTCCATGAACCACAACACAAGTCTTTTTCAATGTCGAGACAACATGAGGGAGTGAAAACTAAGTGACTCATAAGGAGGAGGTATATTTATCTCATTTCTTTTCAGAGTCCCAAACTACCAGATCATTCTAGTCAAAGTCAAAGAGGAATAACAACTATTTCTACAGAGAAAATGCTGTTTCCCCACATTCCTCAGAAAGTCTATTAAAGATATGCTAAACTAGCTTTACAAGTCTATACCAGAAATTTATTAATTTTTTTGACATTGCGTATAGCCTACATATTGCTCTTCAATCTTAGCTTTTTCCCAAAATCCTGAGAATGTTTTCATAGCACCTAAAGTGGTTTTTATAAATAAAACTAAGTTGGCTTTGGTTTATTTTACTTTTGTTTTTAAAAGTACAATAGTAATTTTAGATTAGTTTCTAGTCTAATTGAAGATGAATTTTTTTGTGTGTGTGTGCTTTGGAGTGCATGTGCTTGCTGGAGAGACAGAGAGAGACAGAGACAGACAGCAAGAAATCACCCCCCTGGGTTTAGCTATGCCTCAATCCCTTCTCTTCTACTCTTCTCTTGGGATTTTGAGCACAAAGGCACATGTTCCCAGCATGAGTGTCAGGCCTCCAGGTCCAGGACTTGAACTGCAGTCGGCCAGGTGGGAGAGTCCAGTGCCTCAGCCATCACACCACCTGCTGACCCCTAGAAAACAATCTTTTGACTCTCCCTCCCTTACAATAAGAAAATAATGATATTAGCAGCTAACATTTATTTTGTAATTATTATGTGTCAAGCAATGGGCTATGCGCTCTATGTGTGTTATCTTAATCTTCCCAACACTCTCCAAATTTAATCAGTTATTTTTACCTACTGTATCTGTGAAGGACACTACTGACACTTTAAGAGGTCAACTATCTAATACCAAGTAAGAGCTGTTACTACCTAAGCTGAGACTATTAGATTTGCCAGTTATTTTTAGAAGCTATTCTCTGAAAATTATAATTAGCAGTCAATTTAAGATTATGAGTTAATGATTACTTAACTATAAAAGAACTATTTGAAATAAATTTTCTACTACATTCCATAGCTCAGAGAAATCGACAATATTTTAAATAAAGATAGCTTCTTGGATGGAGTTAACTGGATACAAAAGACTAAGTAGCTAAAACTAAACAAATACCTTGAGCATTATCCATAATTTCAAAAGAATTGGGACCAACAGTTGGAGTAATGGCTATGTCGCTGGACTCCCATGTAGTCGACCACGGTTCGAGTCCTGGACCTGGTGGCTTAAACTCACGCCAGGCGCACGTGTGTGCATGCCCAAGATCCCAGGAGAATGGAGGAGAAGGAACTGCGGCGTGGCAATCCCCCCTGGGGGGTGATAGCTCGCTTTCTGTCTCTCTGTCTCTTTCTGGCGAGCACATGCGCCCTATAGCAAAAAACCTCTCCAAAAAACAAATAAAAGGTATTCATATTAATCTTTTTCTATTCTTTAAGTACATAGAAAAACATAATAAAACTGTAGTGACTGCCTCAGTGTGCAATTAAATCAGTGGTCAATAGATATTTGTCAAGTGAATATGATAATTGATATTAATTCAGATCCAAATCAGAAAAAAAGTTACCTGTTGGAAGCTGTCTCTTAGAAGTTGCTGGTCTTCAGGATGACAGAATTCTACAATATTCTTTCCTAAGAGTTCCTAGAAGTGAGAAAGAAAAGTAAAATATACATTTTTATGGACATATAACTTTCCTGGCCATCAGTTGGACACTTGGATTTTATTTCTGCTTTCTTTATTCTAAGATTGTAGATAGGTGTGGAAGGAAAAAACAAAACAAAACAAAACAAAAAACAGGCCAGCAGGCAGCACAATGGTTAAAGTGCTGGATTCCAATGGGCAACTCTACAGTTCGAGTCCTGGACCCAGCAGCTTGAGAAATACACCAGGCATGTGTACATGCATGCCCAGGATCCTGACTGGAGAATGGAGAAGGGACTACAATGTGGTCATCCCCCTTGAAGGATGATTTCTCATTTTCTCTCTGTCTCTCTGTGGTAAACATATGTGCCCTATGGCAAAAAAAAAAAAAAAAATCTTAAAATGAAATCTGCTAAGTAGTTGGTTTTTAGAACATTTTTAAGTTTTCAGACTACTATACATTTACTTTAATGGCATTTATTACAAATTTTATAATTCAACCATCCTAAGTGTACATTTGGTGATTTCTAATAAATTTATACAGTTGTGCAAGCATTATCTTGAGTCAGTTTTAGAACATGTTAATTGCCAAAAATGGTTCCCTTGTGCCTATCTGCAGTCCTTGTTCTCATTTCCTACCCAACCAGTGATCGTTTACTGTCTATTTAGTTTGACCCTTTTTAGAAATTTCATATAAATGGAATCATACAATATGCAGTTTTTAAAATCTGGCTTCTCTCACTTAGCATATTCTTGAAATTCATCTATGTTGTTGAATGTATCTGGAGGAGTTTGACCCAGCGGGGCTCCAGGATCTGTCTGAGCCCCTCGACCTTTGAGCTCCGCTTCCGGTCGGGACAGCACGTTGGCAAGGCCGCTGCTGTGTACCTAAGACTTAGGTCAAATTAGCTTGTCAGCAAGGCTGCTTGCTATTTGCTCCAGAAAACTGTGGTAGCCTTGCTGGGAAGCGACCCCCCCTCTGACTCCCCAATATACTACTATAAAAGAATTACATAGCTCTCTTATACATCCTGAGTATATGATAAAATTTTCCAGGAAGTCCCCCGACTGCTCCCCTTTGCTCTGACCACCTATTGTTAATTACAATGCTTTACTCCGGACAGTTACAATAGAGAATGTGATAAAGTCAAATCTAGGCAGAAATCTTCTTGACCTTTGGAAGGCCCTTCAATATACATTTAACATAAGTTTGAGAATAATCTTTTAGGCCAAAAGGGGCCCAGGGCATTCCCGCCCCACTTTGGCTAATGTTTTAACAAAATTAACAATAGAGAACATAGAGAACGTTTTAAGTATGCCACAAACTCACCTTAAAGTCCTTCATTAACTTGCTAATCACTCTACCACTGGTTGAAAAGGCTGTCCCCGCCCTTACCTAGTAAACAGTAAGTTTTACCCCTTTAAGACATATTAGGGTTCCTTGAATTAAGTTTTAGACCCCTATACAATTATATAAGTTCCATTCTTTATTAAGATCCATAAGAACTAATATCTATACTTGAGATTTTCTTTTCTCAGCACCATTCCTGGTAATCACAAGATGGCTGCTGTGCCACATCAGCTGATAATCATCTCTGCTTGCTGGAGCCACTTTCCCTAAACTGCATTCCATGAAGACCCACCTACACCAAACGAATTGTGGAACTGCACTAGACCCACCCTTAATCTAACCCTAAATAGAATCTATGTTCTCTATTGTTAAAACTTTATGAGGTGATAATTGAAACACGTAGCCCCTCTCCTGTTTACTTGCATGTATCACATTTTCAATAAAAACGCCTCTCCTGTTTACTTGCATGTATCACATTTTCAATAAAAACGC